CAGTCGGTTAAAAAACAAGAATGTAGTTTACCTCCGCTACAAACAATATTTCTGGTTACTGGTAAGATCCTCGAAGCTATAGTTCAATAACAAAAGCATGATCCATAGACTATAACCTGTGGGACCATAGGATTGTCAAAGGTGCAAGGATTTCAACATGAAAACACTCAAAGTCTCCAAACTACAGTCTTAGATGAAATACGCATGACATACATTCTTCGAAATTTTGACAACATTCGTGCAGAAGTTATGAGAATTATGTGCAAAACAGTCAACTGCAGACAAGTGATCTAAGAAGCAGTTGTTTTTCTGTTATAGGGCTAAGGAGGGTAGTAACTGGACTGACGGCCCAGTCATACCTCCGGTAAAATGCTACTGAAACTTTCAACTTGTGACATAAAAAGCTAAAAGCTCTTTGAATTTGTCTGCGATATTCCCAAGTCCTAATGGATTCAGAGAAGTCGGAAAGTAAGTTTTATTCAAAAGTTAAACGCCATAACCGTGTTTCTACCTCGAAACTTTTATTTCGAGGACTCGCATTAGGTATGCGATGGTTTGAGCAAGTGATAAAGGTAACTCTCCCTTTTAGCAACTTATTTTTCTTGCAGTTACTAAGCACATTCCTACTCATTATCGTAATCAATTTTCAATTTACAAAAAGTGATTGTGGTACAGTGACTGACGAGTCCATCTAGCAGACCAAATACCCGGTGGCAATAAAATGCCCTGAAAAGTCAGTAGTTCATGTGATATTCTATAGGGGCCAACATTTTTATGCTACTGGAGTCATTGAGACACTCCATGTACAAAATTTTGAGTCGGTTACCTCTCGAAAGATACAGAGTGACATTGTCTTTTTTGGATTTTACATATTACGAAAATAATCCTTGACAACGCTATAACAAGTCGGATATTGATGAAATTTGAAACAAAATTGCTACTCTACCAAAGACAAAAAAATGTAGATTGTGAGATGCGACAACAGTTTTAAACTTCTGCTCACTATTGCTGCATCTGAGGATTTTTTCTATCAAAGGTCCAGTAGTGTAAAAACGGTTCTGACAAAATCTACGTTTAAAAATAAAAATAAGATCGCGTTACAGAGAGAGAGTTCAGAAATAGCGCCACTGCTTTATTGACACAGCTTCACTTGTCTCTAATTAAGGCACGCGAGGAAATAAAGACATCCGGACACAAAAAATAGCAACTCTGAGCTATTGAGACGGAAACTTTTTTTAACTCCCAGCAACGAGATAAACTTCAGGACGACAGAAAAACTTCACGTAGCATAGAAAAACACAAAGTTGTTTATCGAATTAATTACCTGTGAAAGTTTAGCCAGGAAAAAAGCAATGTTCTCTAGTATGATGGATTGTGTTTGTAGGAAAGTTACTCAGGACTATAATACATGATATAAAGTTTGGCGAGCCGGCTTCAAGGAAATAAACGTAAGGCTTGGAACAAGTTGCTGTTATTATGAATACTGTAATACAAGCGTGTTTAGCTCTTGTTAGAACTTAGGGTATTATTATACACCGACGGGTGCACACTAGTTTTTTTGGAATCCACTCTGCATGCTAGCAACCGCGAAGCTTTAATAGACCAATTAAACTTAGTTGATAACACTGGACAACAAATTTTAGTTTTTTAATTGTATCTTGTGGGAAAAGTGCACTTCCTTGTAATTTTGGGGCGCTGAATCCAAAAATGACAATGAAATAAAAAAATTAGTTCCGGTTTAAAAAAAAAACTTTTTATTTTTAAGGATTTATTAAAAAAAGTTCATATACTTATAAGAATCACTATATGCGCTGTCTTTTTCCTGTTCTTTATGGATCGTTTCTGGAGCATCTCTACCAAGAGTCCAACAGTAGCCTGCAAGCATGGAAGGATTCCACTTTCCTGGTACCTTTTTCCATTGTTGAAATATCCTGATGAAAACGTTCGCCGTGCACATCACGGCTCCGCAATTGTCAGGAAAAAGTCCAGGTGTGAGTGTAGGAATGTATCTTAAGAGACATCTTTTGATACGATGACAGCATATTTTTGACAAGGGTTTTATAGTTGTCAGCTTTTCTATTTCCCAAGAAATTAGTTACCACCAGACGGAATCATTCCAAGCAGTTTTTTCAATACCTGTTAAAGTGTTTTCAACTGTGTATCTTTCAAAATATTCCGAATCTGTGGCCCAACAAAAAATACCTTCTTTAACCTTTGCGTCACTTAGTCTTGGAAATTTCTGACGCAGGTATTGAAAAGCTGACCCATCTCTATCTAATGCCTTGACAAAGTTTTTCATTAGGCCCAACTTGATAGCAGTGGTGGTAAAAACATTTTTTTCGAATCTACTAATGGCATATGCTGTACATTTTTTTGACCTGGCTCTAGGAATGACGAACAGGCCAGTTTGTCTGGTGTAATGAAGTGCCTTTGCCCGACTGTCCCATTCACACAAAAAACAGCAAAAACTTTGTGTAGCCTAGCTGCAGCCCAAGTAAAAGTGCAACAACTTTCAAATCGCCACAAATATGCCATTGGTGCTCATCGTATTTTATGCATGTCAATAGGTACTTCATATTGTCATATGATTCTTTCATGTGAACTGCATACCCTACAGGAAGAGATGGTAAAATATTTCCAATATGCAATAACACTGCCTTTAAACTCAATGTTGAACTGTCTATAAACAATCTCCATTCTTCTGGGTTATAGTTTATATTAAAGCCGCCAGTAAGCCGTTAATGTTACTGCAGAAAACCAAGTATTCTCCATATAGAAAAATGGTTCTGAGTCTTTGTGGCGTTTACGAAAAACACATACCGAAACATCGTCTTCTAACAAGTTCCACTGCTGCAGTCCTGATCCAAGTAACTCTGCCTTACATTTTGGAAGTTCTAAATCTCTTACCAAGATCATTTAATTCTGACTGTGTATTTTGTGCGGTGGGTGGCATGACGTGCTCGGTATGAAATCAGGATCTCTTGACGTTGATGGCATATCTTCTTCCTGACGAATCACTCGATCGCCATGATCTGATTCGTTTTCTGATTCGCAAGTGTAGGATTCTGGGGGTTTTGGAATAGGACTTTCGTCACTGTGAGGCACAGGGTCTCATCGCAGATGGCATGTTTGGGTAGTTAATAACCGATTTTTTTTTTTCTTGGACATACCTGTGGCTTGTCCAAACAAGGTTACAATGCAAAAGTAACACTCATTAATATGATTTGTAGGCCTCTCTCCAAACTATTGGGACAGCAAAGCGCATAGAACGTTTTTTGCCATTAACCAGCTCCTCAGACTTGAAGCACATGTATTACAGCAGATGTGGGGTTACCCACTGTTTGTCTTGATCACCTAGTTTACAACCGAAATAAAGCTGATATGCCTTTGTTATTAGTGGAGTAATAGTTCGTCTCTAGACGCAAAAGTCACATCACCACACACGTAACAAAACTGATCTGGATTGTTTACACACTTTCGAGACATCTTGCATGAACGCTGTCAGCCAACTGAGGAAAAAATGGCTAATATAAAACAATATAATGTACACGTATGTATAACGTAACACAATCATGCCGATTACATCATCTTTCCTTGCCGAATATAAAAATGTAGCACGTGCATTCTTGTGAATTACAGTATATTAACACTGTCACAGCAGGAACACATATAATTACCGTATCTCTAAAACTTGAACTAATATTGAAAAAATAAGTTTCATTCCGGTTTTAGCACATTAAAAATAGTAATATTTTGTTGATTT